TGCCCAGAGCTCCACTTACTGGCTGCCTATGAAAATTCAGAATATTCCTATTTGCATGCATTGTAACTCCAACAATCTTCTTTTAATTGCTATCTTTTGGGTCGTTAAATAGAACTCTGAAATTGTTTTGTTCTATCTGTTCCATGACACTCGGCTTGAAGGGCCTGTTGGCCTGACACTTTCTTTACTTTCCGGCTCCTGGAAGAGATAAAACATGTTGAAATACGAGGGTATCGCGGAGATGTACTGAATGTTTTTGGGATTTTTTTTGCCCTGATTTACACTTAATATTTTATGTTTTTTTTTTTTTTTTTTTAAAAACGGGCTGAACACCAGCAAAGAAAAAAACCCTGATAACCCGGAGGACTGCCGTATCTCCAGCCTCCTTCCCAGGGGTTCCAATGGCATTGAAGTATATTGTGTTTTTCTCCACTGGGTGGCAGGAAGACATAATGGCCATCTTGGCAATGCATAGGAAATAAAGGGACCTTGTTGCCTTGATGCAGATTCTGTCCTATGGAAGTCACCTTTCCCTCATTGTACATACCATAATGCAGGTTTTCAACATTTTCCCCATCTCTGTGACCCCCTTTAGTGCTTTTCTTTCCCCCCTCCCATCCTATTCTCTGTATGTCTATTGGTACAGGAGCTTATTTATATAATGACAGAATAATATAACCATTTAGTATTCAGAGACTGGTTTAATACAAAACTTTCTAGTCGGAAACCTACTTGGACTAACTTTTTGTAAATAAAGATTTGGGTTTTCTCCCCTTGTTCTTCGATAAAGAAATGTTGTGATCGTGTGCTATGCATATTTTGTATTTCGTAATAAGGGGGCTTTGGTATGCGAGCCTGGCGGGGGGCTTTATTGTGTGCCATGCTTGGCGATCGCAGCCGGGAGAGGGCTGTATTAAGACGGTGAGACTCTCTCCTGTAGTGTATTCTCATTGTGCTTGTACTTCTTTTTCCATATTGCACTGGGTTTTCTGAGTGAAGTACGTGATAGAGCTGCTCAGGGACATATAAAACGCCTGTGTGTACTAATATGAAGGCAGAACCTTATTTTTTTTTTTAAAGGGTGTTTATTTCTATGTTTTGTTGCAGGAGTTTAAAAGCAAACGGTGTTAAGCCAGTTGAACACTATGGATCCAACCTAATTTAAAGAAGAACTCTGGGGGGAAAAATTCTTAACCTTAGCAGTGCGGCTACTTCTGCACGGAAAGTGTTAAGTGCTTGTTTGTGTCTAGGTTCAAAAATACCAAAGTAATACTCGCCTGAACCTCGGATCTGGCAGGCTGACAGCGCTCTCCCTCTATAGTCTGTTTCCACTGCTGCAGTGATGGAATGTCCCTCGGCATCCTCACCTTCCATACACTGTGTAGAATGTGATGACTCGGGGACCTTAGACTGCTGCAGTGATGGTATGTCCCTCGGTATCCTCACATCCTATACACTGTGTAGAATGTGATGAGTCAGGGACCTTAGACTCCTGCAGCGAAAGGGGAGCAAGGTGGTAGGAACTGGTCTAATAGTCTGCTGTCTCTGACTGAGGATCGGGCGAGTAAAACTTTTTTTTTTTTTTTTTAAACTAGACCCAAATGA